GCACAGGGCACGAGTTTAAAGATCAAAATTGATTATTTTCACCATCAACCTCCCACAAAGCCAAAGCTTTAACTACATAAGCCGAGACAGCCACAATAGTAGCAGCAAAAATAGGAGGAACAAGTAAATCCATTTTAGACCTCTGAAAAACCTCAGTAGGGAAACAAAAAACCTCTAATGAAAGATCCAATGGAATTCTAACAGATCCTCTATCATGACAAGCCTGAGAAAACGAAGACGACGGCGTTATCGCCGAAACGAAGGCTAATTCCGGCGAAAAAGAAGCCACAGCTACTATAATTGTTAAAAGGGTTGTCCATGTTGCAGCATAGAATAACGATGGTAGCCTTAAAGAGAGCCTTTGATAAATTGAGTTCAAGAAAATGAAGCTCATATTTTGCTAGAAAAAAATTATGTTTGGAAAAGGAGAAGAATATGAATATAATGGGGTTACATGATTATTGGTCAAACATAAGTATAATAAGGATGTTGGTTGTTATGGGAAAGATGGACCTAATCTTAACTACTTTCAAAATGTAACACACAACATGATCTCAAGTAGTTTAGTTGTTGGAGTTTAAAACTATCGGGCTACCGAAATAAAAATAAAAAGGCAGTTCGGTGTACGAAGTATTCTTAGTTCACGCAGGGACGGGGAACAAGATGTGTGACGTACGCAATCTATCCTAATGCAACATCAGTGGCTGATTCCGCGGTTCGAACCCGTAACCTATAGGTTACACGGAGTTAACTACTTTAAAAAAGTAACACACAACTTGGTTCCAAGTAGTTTAGTTATTGTTAAAGCTTAACTTATATACTTTGACCGTGTAAAAGAATTTTTTTACTATACATCACCTAAAAGTTAACTACACATAATCGTTCAATAACAACAATAATATACCAGTGTAATTCCATATAGTGAGGTCTAGGCAAAGTGGCGTGTATGCAGACTTTACCATTACCCTCGTGAGGGTAAAAAGACTGTTACATATAATCGTCCATAAAAAGTAATATTAATAATCTGAAAAATAAGACCAATCACCTGTTAAAATATATTAAAATATAATGATAGTGTAAAATTTTATTACAGTATAACTATAATAGATGGATAATTAGTTGACTAACTCCTCATAACAAGATGAAGCTGATATTTTGGTAGTTTGGTGAGATAGCAAAGGAGAGTTGCAACTAAAAGGAACGGTTATTTTGGTAGACAACGTGGACATGGCACTATTATTATTAGAATTTTTTATATGGGGTTGGTGAGAAAAATATGATAATTTAGCATAAATATTCGGAGGATTCGTTTTAAGTGCTCAACATGATAATACACTTTGACCTTAAATTTAGGTGCTTATATTTTATGTTGGACACTTGACCTTCAATTTTAGGTGTTTGTATCAATTTTAGGTTGATGAATACATAATAACAATTGCATCCATTACTTTTTACAGACAATGTATTAATGATGACGAACTTAAAAACATTTTTCTAAATTTTTAGTACTATGAATAGTTTGAACCAATTAATTAGTTCATCCATCTCATCTCTGAACATAGACTTTGCCCTCCAAAAAAATTCTCTTTTTTTGTAAAACGAAAAAGATGAAAATAACGAAATTAAAGATAACGAAGATAATGAGATGATTATGATAATGACAATGATAAGGATAATGATAACCATAATCTTAATCATGATAACTATGATAATAATAGTACTGCCATTAACCCGATGTAACAAAAACATATAAACAGGTGGCGAATGATCATGAGTTAAAAATAGGATGAAAATTTTCTTATCCTTTCTTGTACTCCACTAACCTATTGTCAAACTTATCTTTTTCCATGTGTTATGTTCCTTAAGCTATCATAGTTTGAAATGGAGAAATATTTTCACTGACTTGGGTGTGTTTGGTATAAAGGAAAATGATTAACTTAAAATTTTTTTTTTTTGAAAAATAAGTATTTTTCTTACTTATTTTGCGATATTTAGTTAGGTAACAGAAAATATTTTTGAAAAATATATAATTTAGGTAAACACTATATAAGATGAAATGGATAAAGGCAGGGAAGCGTGGTACGGGGCGAGGTGGGAAATAGGCGAGGTCGGTGGGGCAAGCCGGCAAGGTGGGGTAGTGGGGCGAGGATGAGGGTGTTGGACTTTAAGCCATTGGGCTTTAAAGTAGAAGAAGTGTGAATTGGAAATGGAGAGAAATAAAATGGAGGGAAATTGAAAATTTGAAGAAGTGAACTTTTGTCTTGCACTTTGTCCCTCATTGGTGAGGGACAACCACATTTGTGTGCTTATATATAGAATCACTTCTTAAAGCTCTTAAAAGGAGTTGAAGAGAATGAACCCTCGCGCCGTCGTCGTCGCTCGCTCGGCTTGGATTAGGATTTGAATTTGGATTTGTCAAATCGAACGATAAGATTATTTTTGGACAAAATTTATTTAATTATTTAATAATTAATTAAATGCCAAATCACTGCTGAAAATACGCCAGAACCCTGCTGAAGGTTCAGAGGGCCTCTCTGACCGCGGTTCTGCCGCGACCGCGGTAGAACCGCGGCAGGCAGCGTATTCTTCTGAAAAGTCACCTTTTCCAGACACCTCTTCTGATAATTGCCTATAAATTCTGAGGCAAGGCTCCATTTTCTACACACGAAAAACACTCCAGAACTTCTTTCTTTCTGAATATACTGCATCCTAATTCGCAGTCTCTCTCTCTCAAATTCGTAAGTGTGATTTTGCTCCGTTTTTTTAGTTCGTTGGTATCCTGCAGTTTGTATTGCCACTGTTGCAGGAAGGTTTATTCCGTTTTATCCTGGGAGGATTTAATCCATTACCTTGGCAACGTGTGAGGGGGTTAAAATTCCTTAAGGACACACAAGAAAATTGTGGACTCGGAATATTTCTTAAACTCTTATGTTTTTCCAGTTTCTTTTATTTTTCTAACAGTTTTTTTTCTGATTTTTGGTTTAACACAGTAACGCTCACAAGCTTAAGAAAATTTTTAATTCTAACGTTTCTGTGTTGAAACATATATTAAACTGTTATTCATATTTTGTATACTGTTTCGGAGACTAAAGCCTTGTTGCTTTCTACTCCAATAATTCTTTCTGTCCGATTTAAAGTACATAAAAACTTTGCCGGAATAATAAACGTACGGGTTTGAAGTATATAAAAACTTCACCATTGTTACGTGTTGTATGTTTGGTTTAATATTCAGTTTGAAGATATGAAAATTTCACTGATTTAACAAAGTTCTGTATTGTTTTCAACTTTACAGAAATATGACGAATGAAAACCAAACTAATGGAAGTGTTGCGGGAACGGGTGCTACTGTTACGAGTGCTGCTGCCTCGTCAAGCCGTTCTACTCCTGCTCATGCTATGGCACCGGCAGAAAAACCCGGAAAGTTTTCCGGTATTGACTTCAAATGCTGGCAAATGAAGATGCTCTTCTATCTTACTACGTTGAGTTTGCAACGTTTCATCAAGGAGGATCCTCCGGTCATGGCTGAAAATACTACGGATGATAAACGACTTGTTGTAACTGAAGCATGGAAACATTCTGATTTCCTGTGCAAAAATTACATTTTGAGTTGTTTGGAAGATGGCTTGTACAATGTCTATAGTGTCATGGAAACTTCAAAAGCGTTATGGAATGCGCTTGAGAAGAAGTACAAGACTGAGGATGCCGGACTTAAGAAGTTCGTGGCTGCAAGGTTCTTGGATTTCAAGATGATTGACACTAGGTTGGTCATAACTCAAGTCCAAGAACTACAAGTCATTCTACATGACCTCCTTGCTGAAGGTATGACCCAAATCAATAATTTTATTAATAAGATTTATCTTATTATTAATAATGAATTTGTTATTGAAGGTATGGTCATAAATGAGGCCTTTCAAGTCGCTGCTTTCATTGAGAATTTACCTCCACTGTGGAAGGATTTTAAGAAATATCTTAAACACAAACGGAAGGAAATGACACCAGAAGACTTGATTATTCGTTTGAGGATAGAAGAGGACAACAAAAATGCTGAAAAGAAGTCACGTGGACACTCGACAATAAAATGGGGGCAAACATTGTTGAGGAGGCACCACAAAATAAGAAGAGGAAGAAAGCTTCTGGACCAAAGAATTACCCAAGTAAGAAGAAGTTCAAGGGTAATTGCCACAACTGTGGAAAATCTGGGCATAAGGCAGTGGATTGTCGTGCGCCAAAGAATGATAAGAAGAAAAAGAATCAAGCCAACATGGTTGAAGATGAAATGGAAGACTTGTGTGCCATGTTGTCTGAATGCAACTTGGTAGGAAATCCGAAAGAATGGTGGATAGATTCTGGAGTCACCCGCCATGTTTGTGCTAACAAGGAGTTATTTTCTTCTTATGCCCCGCAGGTCCCGACGAGACAATCTTCATGGGAAATTCATCTACGGCCAAAATTGAAGGAGTTGGCAAGATTGCGTTGAAGATGACGTCGGGAAAAATAAGTGACTCTAAACCAAAGTTCTCCATGTTCCAGAAATTCGCAAGAAATCTTGTGTCTACCTCACTTCTTGTCAAGAATGGATTCAAATGTATTTTTGTTTCTAATAGTATTGTACTAAGTAAGAACGATTTGTATGTAGGAAAAGGTTACTAAATGAGGCTTTTAAGC